TCTAGTCATCCACTGATGGACTTTTAGGTTGGTTCCACATTTTGGCTACTGTAAATAGAGCTGCAATAAACATGAGAAAGCAGGTATCCCTTTGACATGATTTCCAGTCCTCTGGATATATACCCAGTAGTGGGATTGCTGGTTCATATGGTAGTTCTATCTGCAGTTGTTTGAGGAACCTCCATACTGTTCTCCATAATGGCTGTGCTAATTTACAGCCCCATCAACAGTACAGAAGAGTTCCCCTTTCTCCACATCCTCACCAGTATGTTATTCCCTGTCTTTTTGATAATAGCCAGTCTAATTGGGGTGAGGTGATATCTCGAAGTGGTTTTGATTTGCATTTCTCCAATGATTAGTGATGTGGAGCATTTTTTCATATATCTGTTGGCCATTTGTATGTCCTTTGAGAAATGTCTGATCAGCTCCTTTGCCCATTTTTAATTGGATTATTTGGTTTTTTACTGTAAAGTTGTTTGAATTCTTTGAATATTCTGGATATTAATCCATACCTCTTGCCATTTACCAAAATCAACTCAAAATTAATTAAAGACTTAAATATAAGACCTGAAACCTTAAAACTCCTAGAAGAAAACATAGGGGAACACTCCAGGAGGTAGGACTGGGCAAAGACCTTATGAATAAGACCCCAAAAGCACAAGACAACAAAAAAAAATAAATGAGTGGGATTCTGCACAGCAAAGGAAACAATCAACAGAGGGAAAAGACAACCTACAGAATGGGAGAAAATATTTGCAAACTACACATCTGACAAGGGATCAACATCCAGGAGTTGCAATTTATAGCTAGTCTTATTTTATATTTTTGAAAATTCAATATAAGTTAACACAAGTCAGATGCAATCATCCTAGACTTAAGGATGTCTCCATTGCACATGGAAAGCAGAAAAGCTACTTATATTATCTGAATATCTATATTATCAGAATTACTCTGGAACAGTCTGCTTCTAGAGAAGCAGCAGGATAAATAAAAGAGAACAGGCTCTGTATTCACAAAGCTGAGGTTGAAACTCAACTCTACTTCTTGGGCCAAATACTTTAGCTCTCTGAGCCTATTTTGTCTCCCCTGCCCAACCCCCCAACTCAGAGCTTTATTATATACTCTTGCACAATAAAGATTTTGTGAAATTTCACTAGAATATAGTTGCCACTATTCTCTGGAAGTTGTGGTTAAAAGTCCAGCATCATTTTTTAAATACAACAAAATTCTGCATTCAACCATGTATAATCACAAATTCTAGCATCTAATACATAATCACTACACATTTCTCAAAACAGAAAATTGTGTTCCAGGATCATTCTCTGGCTTTTTTCTTTTCCATTAATGATCCTATTTCATCTTTTATCCCATGAGAATAATCTTCATTTTGCATGGTTGTTGGGAGACATAGTATTATTAAAGGTCTCCCCAGACCTACAAGTCAGAAGTTCTACCTGTGTCTCTTACTATTCTCAGCCTATACAATGGAGATTCTAGTGCCTACCTCATAAAGGTGTAAGGCTTGAGCAATGTAACTGAGAGGTGTAAGGCATGCTTTAGGGTCCTCAGGCTTTTCCAGTTACGATGGCTAGGTTCTTCCGAAGCATGCAAGGGAATGTGTAGTGAACCTAGCATAAAGCCCCTTTCTCCAAAGGGAAAGCTACTTACATGAACAGAAGTGGGAGACAGAGGATGGCTTGACTATCCTCAACTACCAATGGGCAATTACCTATTTCAAGTACTTAACATCCTCTTTAAGAAACAATTGTATCCCCTTCCTAAACCCACAACAGAAGTATGAAAAACATGCCAGCAATCCATTCAACTCCTGTGGTGCAATAAACCTATGAATTACAAGAATTGATCATGGTTTATTTTCCACTTAAATTTCTTTCCTTCTTTTTTTGTCTTTTTTCGTGACCGGCAATGGATCGCAACCCTCAGTGTCGCGCCCGCACCGGACCGGGACTGGCAACGGGATCGCAACCCTCGGTGTTGCACCCGCACCTCGCTCAGCCAGCGAGCGGCCGGTCCGAACCCTCGGCGGGAGCGCCACGGCACTCCCAAGTGGCGCACTGTAGCAGTGCGCCACCGGGCCAGCCCTTAAATTTCTTTCTTGACATACTGCCAGAGCCTGAATGATTCTGGAAGAACTTGGGAATTCTAAAATAACCATCAATGTTCTGAGCCACGCTAAGAGAAGTTAGAACCCTGTGCGGACTCAAACTAGTTGGGAAGTGAAAGAGGTTTCCCCTCTAGAGTCAGCGGCCCTTGGGAAGAAGTACCCTGACTTCCTTCCAGGTTAAAGTGACTCTGTGAAAATCTGATAGTCCCAACCAAACAAATAAATTGGGGCCAAATGAGAAAAATCACAAATAAATAACAAAAAAAGGTAAGTGTGTAGGAGGTGGGGGGAGGGGGCATGGAGAGGTAACTTAAGGCTACATTTAAATGTTGGTCTTTATTCCCTTATTGAAGATGCAGTCCCTTTGGACTCCTAACAACTCCCAAAAGGGCCATTTCAGTCCGTATAGAATGTTTCAAGGCAAAAGAAGTTTCAACCAAGTCCCTCATGTACACAGAATCCAATTCCCAGATCTCTGGGCTTGGTCCATTTCCCACATGATTTGTCAGCTGAGATCTCACTTGCGAATCAACTGGTTTGTAAGGTACTTCAAACCAGAGCTGGAACTGGAGCATATTTACCTTTTGTCCAGTATGCAGCTCAGCTCAGAGCATAACGAGTACTACTGCTAACTCAAAGAAAAGAATATTTAATGTCCTGGTTGCCTATAAAATTTTGAACAAATTCTCTATGATTATAAAAATGAAAGTATTCCATGTAACAAAAGCAGCATCTACAGCACACCTAGGAAAAAATGAAGATGCTTTCAAAGACCCAAGAAACAACCCAGCAAGCCTACTGAGTGGAATCTTCCAATCACTAGAGACAGCCAAGAAAGCCGGTAGCCTGATCCCAGCAATGCCTACTCCAGGCCATGCCCCTGAGCACATGGCAGCCCTGGGGTGATTTATGGTAAGGATATTGCACCAGACCACAATCCCGAGCAACTGAAGAAACAAGAGGAAAGCCAGGATATCACTTTCAGTAGATGAATACTAAGTAGCTTGCTACTAAAGCATTATCCAACAACAGAGGCTACCTAGCAAAGGACAATTTAAAAATATTAATGTTGGTGTTTGTCAAGGTTTGTGCATCAATCTGAACTGAAAGCCAAGAACAAATTATCTTTTACTAGCTGATGTCCTGGAAAACTTTTTTACCCTCATTCAAGGACACAAAGGTTGGTTCAAATGTTTTTGGATTTGAAATGTCTCATAATACCTGCATATTTTCAAAACCATAGCATCAATAAGTGAGCTAGAAAATACCTCCCACTTGTATCCCTGCTGATGTGATTTAATGGGTACAAGCAATATACTAGGCAGTGGAGCTGGGCGTGTTATATTACCATATCATCTTCATGACCCACACTCCAAATCATGTCTTTTAATGTAAATGAATATGTTCACTAAATATACTAATATCATTTGTTTTTTTTGTTTTTTGTTTTTTGTTTTTTTGTCTTTTTTCCGTGTCCGGCAACGGATCGCAACCCTCAGTGTCGCCCCCGCACCGGACCGGGGACCGGCAACGGGATCGCAACCCTCGGTACTGCTCTCGCGCCTCACCCAGCCAGTGAGCGGGAACCGGTCTGTATGTGGGATCCGAACCCTCGGGCGGGAGCGCCGCCACGCTTCCCAAGCGGC